AGGTATCGATCGATCGATCGATCACAACCTTTTAAAAATCAAAATTACCTCCATGTTTGAATAAAAATTAAAATTAAATTTTATCCGAAAAAAATTCAAATTTAGAACATGACATATGTAACGTTAAAAAGAAAAGAAAAACAAGAAACGAAAAAACGGTTAAACACAAAATTGAATAGAGAATCGTAAGAAGACGTGTGATTTATAGCAAATGCAAAACAATAAATAAAGTCATTTAACAAAATCAAAACAAAAACATTTAATCGTAAAATGAATTGGGTTTTATATAAGTTTTCAATGTTAAAAACTGTCAATTTAAATAAAAAAAAAGTTTATTGCACATGGAAGTTTAGATGGTAAGTATGGCGGATGATTTCAGTTGTGGTGCGTGCGTTTTCTCGAATGGAGTGCAGGTGTACTCGTCTGATAAAATCCCGTTAATTTTTCTTTTTTTTCTTTTTTTGTTTTTTTATCGCGTACGTTAATTAAAAAGAAAAAAAAAAACGTAAATTGTTTTTAATAATTTAGTTTTTTTTATTTTCACGCTGTTTCGTTTCGATATTTTCTTTTTCTTCTGCTTGTAATTATCGTAATAATCATCATCGTCATCGTTATCACATCGATTTGATAAATATAAAAACTTTACAAACATCAAACCGAGAGAAAAAGGAAAAAAAAAATTTTAATGATTAAGGTACTGAATTAATTTTTATTATTATTATTAATTTTCTTATCGGTCATGTATCGTACCTTGTTTTATAATTGTTTTAATTTGTTATTACGTGTTTTCGTTGTTGAGGGGGTAAGGTTGGTATTTTGAATTTTTCCGTTTGTTTTTTTTTTTTTTTTTTTGGAATTCGATCGGTTGGTAACAACGATTACGATTTTAACGAAATAAATCAATTTTTTTTCTTTTCTCGTGTGACGACATGTAAATTTCGACATTGAGATATTCAAATAAACGACCTTGATTAAACACAACCTGAGTTTAAAAAAAAAAAAAAAAAATTTGACCGTTACTGGAAAAAGATTTTTTCTTATTCATACCTTAAGGCAAAAAAAATTTACCAAAAAGTTTTTTTTTTTTTTTTTTTTTTTTCAATTTTAAAAAATTTTAATTAAAAAATTTTTTTTTCTCGTTTGTCGTACCTTAAACGATCCGGTCAAATTTTTTTTTTTAATTTAAAAATCAAAAAAAAAAATTCGCCCGACATTTGACCATATTTGTAACTGATAAATGAATTTCTGGAAAATTCCAAAAATTAAATGAAATTAAATTTCAGGTACTTCGTTAGAGTTTTTTGTTTTTCCAGTTGTTCTCATCTGCGTATTTTTTTTTTTTTCTTCGTGCACTACAATTAACATGAGTTGTTTTTTTTTTTTTCCTCTAGAAAAGAGAATTAATGATTTATTAAAGTTTTTCGAAAACGTTACTACTGATGACCGAATCATCAAGATAATATTTAACTTTTCACCTTTTGTTTGTTGCCACGATAAATTTTTTTTTTTTTGTTTTCATTTCGTTTCCTCTTTCGTTGTTGTTGTTTTTTCTCCAGATAAAACGAGATTTTCCCACAATTATTAACAACAGACGTTTCGTTGTTATAAAAGAAATGAAAAAAAAAATTTTTTCCCTTAACGAACTAAAAATTTCATCTATTTCGCTTTTTCGAAACGATTATAAAATTGATAATTTTTTTGTAGAAAAATTATAAAATGGCGACAGTTTGACGTAACGTGCGCAGCCACGTCGATCGTAGAATAAATAATTGGGGAGAAAAAAAAAAAAAAAACAAATGTTAAAAAAAAATCTTAATGATTTACCACTGATGAATCTTATAATTAATAATATTTTAATCCAAGTTTTTGTCCAAGTTGTTTGTCGCGTTTGTACAGTTTTGACATTCTTTAATAAACGAAATTAAAATAACAATAAAAGAACGAAACAAATTTTTTTCAAATGCATTACCAAAATTTGATTGCGGATCATATTTTGCAACGTCATAATAAAAAAAAAAAATGGCGTAAGTGCAGATTGAAAAATAGTGGAGAAGAAGGAAGTTGACGAAAAAATATGTTCGGGAGGGCTACACACAAAAAAAATTAAAAAAAAGAGAGAGAGAGAAGAGAGAGCTTTCGAATATTGCAAAATCTCGTTTTTTTGTTTTTGTTTTTGTGTTTTTTTCACACGTTTTTGTTTTAATTAATGTTTGTCGTAATGATTGAACGTGTAAAAAAAAAATTTTCAATTCAAACCTGATTTTAATATAAAAATGTGTCGACATTTTAAAACATTTTCCATGTTTAATTTAAATTTTACAAAAAAAAAAGAACCGTTGGTTTTTTTTTTAAATGTCTGATGTTTGTTTAGCCCTTGAACGTTATTTTTTTTTTTTAAATTTCTACAATTTTTCTCCGGTTATTGCAAAATAAATATTTATTGGTCATTTCTGATAAGACAAAATGACAAAAACAACAACAACAAGAACAACCAATAATGAAAAAAGAAAATAAGAAAGAAGGAAAGAAATTAACCAACCAGGTTGAGGAACTTGTAAGACATCATCATAAATCGGATAATCTGAAGAGAAAAAAAAAAAAATCGTGGGTAGTAAATTTAAATGGATTTAAATAATGTCATTATCATCATCATTATCATCATCATCATATTATTATTATTATTATTATTATTATTATTATTATTATTATTATTATTATTATTATTATTTCGTTTATGGTGATGTTTTGTCATTTACACGTTCGACGCGACAACAAGTTAAATTTCGCCACGATAATTTCTCAATACTTTTTTTTTTTTAATTAAATTAATATTAAAAAGTTTTTACGTCCTCATCTCGTTTTCATTTTCTTTTATTTATTTATTTTTTTTAAATATCAGAGCTGCCAACCTAATAATAATAATTATTATTATTTTATTTACTAAAACAAACCAATTACGAATTTTTTTTTGAATGAGTTGATGACGGAAAGGACAAAAAAAAATTTTTGATTATCTCATATCTCGTCGGTTTTTTTTTTCTCATGGCTCCATTTCGTTCCAGCATCCGTTTTTTCTTTTCCTTTTTTTTGTTATTATTATTATTATTATTATTATTAATCTTTTACATCAGCATAAAAAAAAAATTTGAAATGTATCTCTTATTGTAATTGCCAACATCCGACTACTTTTTTATGTTTGTGTGCTTTTGTTTGTTTGTTTTGGTGAGGATGTAAGATTAACTGATAATATTTTCACATCAACAGATAGATATTGGTCCAGTTAGTCGAAAGAAGAAGGGAGGGGGGAGAGGGAAATTGTTTTTAATTTTAATTATTTCTAATTAACATTTTTTTTTCTTGTTTTTTTTTTTCAGGTAAGAAAAAATTTATTTATCAACGACGTTATTTTTTTTTTGTCGAGGGAAAAAGGAATCGTAAGGTAATTTATTATTATTATTATTATTAATCAATTTCGACACTTTTATCAAACGTTTCTTATATATATAAAAAAGTAAAAAAATCTATATTATATAGTCTATAAAAAATTAATTAATTTAAAAAAAAGTAATAAATTATATCCGGTGTAAAACAAAACAAACGTTGTGACGATAATAATAATAATTTTGATGCGTTCGTTTAAAAAATCACGTGAGATTAACAATAAGACTAACAGAAATTATTATTATTATTATAATAAAAAGAATAAGTTGACAGTTAAGTGGTGGTCGTGATAAAAAATTTTGACAAAAATTATCGGTGGTAGTCGAGCCCAAAAAAAAAAGTAGAAAAACTATTCGAAATAAAAATGGCGAGCGGGCCAAAGGGATTGGCCAATGCAAAAAAAAAAAAAATTATATTTTAAAGCCTGTCGAATGTAAAGGAACAAAGATCACGCCTTTTATAATAATTACGGGTAATAATTGCTACTAAATATAATAAATTTTGAAAACGCGGTTTGACCTTAGTAATAATAATAAAAAAAAAAACATTTTGTGTGTTTTTTTGGGTGCCATTTCAGGTTTTTCGAATCGCATCTGATTTCACGTGTAATAAAAATTTGAATAAGTTTTTTTATTTATTTATTAAATAATAATTTTAATTTATTACTCGTCTCTCTCACACTCACACTCATTTATTAATTACGTAACACATAAATTTACATGTGAACAATAAGTTTCCAATTAAAAATCGATAAATCATTAATTTTTTTTAGATTTATTATAACCGTTGAAATTTTTTTTTTGCCGCCATTATATAAGAATAAGTTTTCTGTTGTTTTCTTTAATGATTAAAGATTGTTGTTGTAGCTGTTGCTGTTGTTGTTTTTTTTTTTTTTTTTAAAGAAAGAGAGAGAGAGAAACGGTTTCTCCTTATCTTCTTCTTCTTCTACTTCTTGTCTCCCGATTTTTTTTTTTTTTTGGATAATCAATCTGGAAGAAAAGAAGAAAAAATTAAATCTGTGGTTGTTTTGTTTTTTTTGGGGGGGGAGAGAGGGAAAATTTATTGTAGATTTGTAAAACAATTATCGATAAGCGTTATCGTTACTTAATAATAATAATATTTAATAACAACTTCCGGTAAAAAAAAGGGAAAATATCGAATGTTTTTTTTATGTAAATGATTACCCGCGTGAGAATTAATTATATTTATTAATATTAAATAATTATTTATTAAAAAAAAAAAAATTTTTTATTTGTTTTGATCGAAACGTGGAGGAAAAATTATTTTATTTTATTTTTTATTTATTTAAAAGCAGACGCCAATAATAATTTATTGTTTAAAAATTATTAAAAATAAAAAAAAATCATATGAAAATTTTATGTGAATTAACTCGAAGCTATTTACAAAAAAAAAAAAAAAAAAGTTTGTTTAACGTTTCAGTTGTTTTTTTTTTCATTCGATTTTTATCAAATTTAACATTAATAATAATTTTACATATTTTTTTTTTTTTTATTTAAACAATTTTTTTTTCGTTTCGTGCGTTTTAAAACGATTTCACACCTCTTTTCTGTTAAATTTTGCTTCAAGATAAAAAAAAAAAAAAAAAAAAAAAACAAAATTAGTTAACTTTGTGAGCCCACGATTGTGGCGGCGACGACTACGACGACGTAAAAACATTTTTTGCGACGGTAAAATTAAATTTTTTGTTTTTTTTTTTACCGAAAAATTTACGACGGGAATGAATTAATGAGATGAATGTCTTCTAACGAAACAAAACTGTTTTTTTTTATAACCGAAATGTCGGTACCGCTGAAACACAAAAATAAGGAAAAAAAAGGAAAAAAATTACTTGAAAAATTTGCTTAAAGGTATTTTGGCGATTGGTTTTTTTTAAAACAAAAAAATCGTGTTATCAGACTTGGAAGACGTAAAAGTAGAAAGTTTTTATTTTTTATTTCTAATTTAACGTTATATAAAAACGATACGTTAAATTTTGTGAGAGAAAGAAAGAAAAGAGAGAGAGAGAGAAAAAATGTTGTACAGGAAAGGTACGTCAAGGTAATCGACTTTTTCAACTTTTTTTTTTTTAGTTTTTTTACGTAAAAATAAAAAAAAAAAAATTAGGATTTGCAATAATATGTGCGTGTGAGTGTGTGTGAGTGCGTGAGTGCGTGCAAGTTTCGACTCGTAAATTCGTTCTCTTACCTTTTTTTTTTTAATAACAATTGCAGAGAGTTACATATATTTACGCGTATATAAGTAAAAATTACAAAAAAACGGGTACATAACCGTCGCGAACAGGTAAACCATAGGTAGAAGAAGAAGAAGAAGAAGTGGAGGAACAAAAAAAAAATGGCGCACCTTTTTTTTCTGGAAATGGAGAACTTTTTTTCGTTTTTTTCGTTTTTTCTTCTTCGAAAAACAAAAAAAAAATGAATGAGATTAATTAAATAGTTTCCGACCTTCGGGTCGATAGAAGTTTTTTCTTCTTTTTTCGGTGGTGGGTGTAAAAAATTTTTTTTTGATTTTGACGTTTTTACCAAAAGATTGATATTGTTGCAAGAAGTAGGAGTAGTTTAAAAAGAAGAAGAAAAAAAAATGGCCGAACAACAAAAAAGAAAAAAAAAAAACCGAATCTCAGCACGAAAGCGTTATAATAAATTTTAAAATGATAACTCATCAATTTTTACAAAGCTCGAAAAATTATTATTATTATTATTATTTTATTAAACCTTAATAATTATAATGATTATCATTATTATCGTATAAACATCACTATAAAATTATAGCGGCTTGTTATTAATTATTTTAAACGCTATAAAAAGTAGGAACAAATTCCGGACATGGAAAAATTCGAAATATAGAATAAAAAAATTTTTTTTGTGGCATTTCCGTTTATAAACTTTTCGAAAATCGATCGTTTTATATAGCGAATTAAATATAGCGCTATAAAAAATTAGCTCGCGTGAAAATAATTTTCTTTATCATTTCTTTTTAAACTATAAAAAAAAAATTAAAACGATCGAATCGTTTCGAATTATTACTAATAATTTTTTTTTTGTTTGTCTCTCTCTTTCT